GGAGGGGTGTGCTCACAGGGAGGTGGAGAGAGGCAGAGAAGGCAGTGGGCTCTGAGGGGCCCGTTGTAAGGACTAACAAGTGCATAGATGTTTTCACTAAACCAGTCTTCATGGAGGGCTTGCTCTGTACCAAGTTTTTTTTTTTAAATATATTTTATTGATTTTTTACAGAGAGGAAGGGAGAGGGTTAGTTAGAAACATTGATGAGAGAACTAACAAGTGCATAGGTGTTTTCACTAAACCAGTCTTCATGGAGGGCTTGCTCTGTACCAAGTTTTATATAAGGAACCAGCACGCTCTTGTTCCCCAGCCGCTGTTCTGTTTGCACGAGGATGTGCACACTTCCGCCCAGTTGCCTCCAGATTTCCAGACTTGCTGGAGTGAGTTGCAAAGTATCCCCCTAGAGCAGTGATGGCGAACCTTTTGAGCTCGACGTGTCAGCATTTTGAAAAACCCTAGCTTAACTCTGGTGCCGTGTCACATATAGAAATTTTTTGATATTTGCAACCATAGTAAAACAAATATTTATATTTTTGATACTTATTTTATATATTTAAATGCCATTTAACAAAGAAAAATCAACCAAAAAAATGAGTTCGCGTGTCACCTCTGACACGCGTGTCATAGGTTCGCCATCACTGCCCTAGAGGCTCCCCCACGGAACCCTGTGGGGCAAGGGGTACTCTTAGGCAGGGGGGCTGGCTGCTTATCTCAGCAGCTACAGGGGTTGAGCCAACAGACCCCGGCTCCAGCCAGGGGCGGGCTCCTGCTGTCTGCTTTCCTGCCGATGCTGTTTGCTTTCTGACTCCCTCTCCTGTGTGGCCCTCTGGCCCTTGCTGGCTGGTCACTGCCCCCTGGCATCAGAACTCTGAAGCCAGCGACCCTGCTGGCCATTCACAGGCACGGCCCAGTGAGGGTGGGGGACAGATGTTAGTTTCTTGTCTCCCCGCCCCCCACCCCAAAACACACACATATGTTCAGTGTGTATCAGTGCCCTGGGCAGGGGTCCAGGCAGGGAGAGTGATGGGAAGCTGCAGGCTCTAGTCTAGGGGGATGTAAATGGACTAGGCGGGGTGTGTGTGTGTGTGTGTGTGTGTGTGTGTGTGTGTGTGTGTGTTGGGAGAGACAGTGGCAGTAATCAGTACAAGATGGGGGCAGGATTGTCTTCAGACTGCCCCCTGGGGAAATTACATGCCAGCAGCTTCAGCCACTACCAGCTGGCATGCGGGCTTGGGACCACCAAGAAGCCTCCCACACAGCCTCCAGCCTGGGCACTGAAAATTCCCAGCTACATTCCCTGGCCAGGGTGCTGGCACTGGGACAAGAAAGTTGGCCTGGTGGGTAACTGTTCTCTCCCTCAGCACATACACAGACACACACACAGAGACACACACAAAGACACACACACACACACACACACACACACACACACGCACACACACATACAGACACTTCTTCCCAGATGCCATAACACTATCAGAATGAACTTACCCTCTACCTCCACACACTCAACTCTCCCCAGCCACCCTGCCTCCTTCTACTCTCTCCTTTTTCTGCCAACCCCCCTTCACACCCTCCTTTTCTCCTTTCTCCCCTTTCTAAAGTGCAGACTGTTATGGATAAAACCCTTGAAAGGAAGCAGTTTCCTGGGCAGCAGAAGGCAGGGGAGGGGAGGGGACTCCTGAACTCAACTTTGATTCTTTCTTCAGCCCGAGGGAACTTACAAATCAATTGGATGGAACCCCAGCCCGAGCAAGGGCCCTGCAGTCACAGTGCATGCAGCTGGAGGGCCCTGGGTCTGCGTGCTATCCAAGTGCCTGTCGTCTGCAGGGTAAGAAGGGCAGCAGATGCAGTGAGCTGCCTACCCTCTCTAAGCAAGAGGCAAAGCAGAGTTGGGTGGGTAATTTGGGGGGAGTGGGCAGGGAGTGAGGAGATAGGGATGGAAACTCCTTCCAAACCAGAGAGAAGCTTAGCCTTAGAGAAGGTGCAGGGCCAGGAGGGCATAAAGGACTGAAGTAGAGCTGGGGTGTGTGACCCCTGTGGGGCTGACTCCACCCACTCTGCCCCGCCCCCTACTGGGCCAGAGGTTTAGGGACATAGATTGGGGGGGAGGAACTGAGGCTATGGGGGGAGGTTTTTATTCTCCAGTACACCCCAATTAAGTGTTCCACCCTCTTTTGGCATTAGGTCTGAGTTGGTTTAAAGGGAGAGCATTCCAGAGATACAGAGAAGTACAAAGAGAAAAAGACCAGAGAGAAACAAGCATAAGAGTGGGGAGAGGAAAAAGTGTGGAGAAGGTGCAGAAGAGGTATAGGAGATGTGGGCTGGAAGAGTCCTGGAAGGAAGGAGAGGGACCCCAGCATTTGTCCAGCCTCCAAACCCAGAAGATGGAGATCAGGAAGCAGCCTTGCCCAGGGGCTGACTGGCAGCCTCCACTCAGGGAACCCTGAGCAAATACTCCCTGATCCCCACATAAAAGGCCAATTAACTGCGACGCCTCTGCGAACAAATCCGCTAACAGGGTGACAAGCCCCTAGACGCTGGCAGGCCTTGTGTTTGCTGAGAGGCTGACGGGGAGCAAATCAGGGGATTAGGATGGGGCAGGAGCCACATGGCAGGGCTCGGTTTCCTGTCTGGACAGCCCGCCCTGTCCTGCAGGACCCGGATTTCTGTCCTGGCTCGGCCTCTGGTGTGATGGAACCCAGGTGACCTAGGTCAGCGGGAGGAGGAGCAGAGGCCCCAGCCCCGAGATGGGGACCCTTGGGAGCAGAGCACCAGAGGTCTAGGGTGGCGATGCCTTCTAACTGGCAAATACAGGATTGGATCCCGCTTCTGGGCTAGTCATCCCACATCTATCCCTTACCATCTCTCCCACTGAATGCACCCTGGCCCTGGAGCAGGGACACGCGCCAAGTGCCATCTCTTAGTATGCTGGTCCTTTCCAAAGAAGAGAGGTGTCACCAGCCCCTTTGCCACCTCCCCCAACTCTCAGCCTCAAGGTGGGCTGGGGGCGCCAGACTCCTAGTCCAGCCCCGCAGAGAGGGGCTCAAAGAACTACTGGGGGGGGGGCTGCCTCCCTCCAACCCCCCAGCACCTTGTGTTTGGCCCTGCAAAGTCTCTGGCGGAGCTGAGGCAAGTGAAGACACCCAAACACCAATTATTCTGAGGCCCCAGGGCTGGCGTGTGGATGGGGAGAGGACAAGACCCCCACCCCTTGAGAAAGGATGGGGTTCACTTGAAGGCTGTCTGCCTGAGATACCCCAGCCCTTGACTCGGCTTACTCTGGCGTCTATGACTGGGCAGCATCCACTTCTCTGGCTCTAACCTGTTCACCTGCCTCCTCCCTGGTCAGAAGCCTTCACCCAAGGACGGTGATCTCATCACACACCTGGGGGTTAGCCACAACCTGACACCCATCAGCAGGGCCTGACCCCAGATAAGAAGGCTGGCCTCTCTCTTCCCCTGACACCCCGCTTTTCCCAGCCTGAGAGAGAGGGAGGGAGTGAGGGAAGGAGAGAGATAGAGATAGAGATAGATAGATAGATAGATGATAGATAGATAGATAGATAGAGAATGGGGTGGGGATGTGGGACAGGGAGATATTCAGGTAAAAAGAACTCCAGAAAAGTCAGAAGCAGGCTGGGACTGAGGGAGGGGTCATGCTCCCCTCCCCAACCCCGGAAAGAAAGTTATCAGGTTTTAACAGATTTGCAGGACTTTTGCATCAAGCCCCTCTCTTCTCTCGCACTGGCCTTCACCGGAGAAATATTGCTTTGTCTTTGTCCCGCGCTCCCTGGCTCCCCGGCTCCCCATCGGTCTCCTCAAAAAGGTGAAACCATGTCATAAAACGTGTCCTAGCAGAGCAATATGCAAAAGTATGCAAATCGAGGCGAGCTGCCTGGCGTCCCTGGGCTCTCTCCCCGCACTTTTATCGCGGTCCTGAGTCTCCTACAGGAACTGCTAGATGAGGGTCAGGACGCCCCCCCTCACCACCCCCCCCCCGGCTCTCCGTTGCAAACCGGGTGACTGCAAGCGAAGGGGTGGACACGCGTGGGATTGTTCTCCAGCCCCCCCTCCCCAACTCCTTCCTCAAACCTCCCCAGTCTCCCGGGACCTGCGAGGAAATGGAGCCGGGGTTTTGAGAGCTAGAGGAGGGGATCTTGGGCTTTGTGCCTCAGTTTCCCTAAGGGCCCGGAAAAGGGAGGGAGGGTTTCTGTTCTAAAGTCAGGCAGGACAGAGTCCGACAGAGCCTCCTTTCTCGACTCGGGGGCTTTGAGAAAGCAGGAAACTCTCCCGCGACGTCCAGATCCCAGCTCGGGGCTCGGGGCGGGGACTCCAACTCTAGCTGAGCGACTCCAGTCTCTGGCCCTGCGCGTGGCCGTAGGGGCGGGGGCGGGAGGAGGAAGAGTGTGGGATTAATCCCTTAATTACGCCGTGGTCGGGTGGCACCTGCTTTCCGCCGCTCAGCCCCCAGGGGGCCGCGGCGC